ATGTTTACCTACGGCTTTTATTTTATTTTCTATATTTATTTTTTTAAGTGGAGCCAGAAGCGGAGTTGCTTTCACAACTTACTACCCTGGTTTGAGAAGACCAATGCACCAGAAGGCGAGACAAGAAACAACGGATGGAAACTAATCAAGGAGAGAAGCAACCTGGAACTAAAGAGAAATCAGAACAATTGATCAGTGGAACAGAAGTTGCCTCCAGAAGTTGTGGATGCTCCCATCCCTGGAAGATTTCACAAAGAGACTGGACATCCACTTGTCTGAAATGGTCTAGGCTAGGGTCTCTTGCCTGAGCAGGAGGTTGGACTAGGAGACCTCCAAGGTCCCTTCCAACTGTTATTCTGACCTGTGATTCTGTCTCAAGGATGGGAAGCAGAGAACCATCTACGGCTCCCAGAATTGATGGATGTGGATGTCTGAACGTGCGCTTCTTAAAGCTCTTCCAAGGAGGAAGGAATAGAGCCCAGAAAATGTAGGTTGTAAAGACCGGCTGGAACACACCCGTGCTAACTAAAAGCACTTGAGGTTTGACTGCGGGTGTGTGAACTTCCATGGATTCTTTCCCACAGACCCACAGCAAAAGAAAAAAAAAGTTAACAGGCGTCTGAAATTTCAGCACAGATCAACTGTGAATACAGGCTGTCCTTGACTTACAACCGTAACTGAGCCCAAAATTTCTGTTGCTAAGCGAGACATTTGTTAAGTGCGTTTTGCCCCATTTTACCACTTTTCTTGCCACAGTTGTTAAGCGAATCACTGCCGTTGCTAAGTTAGTAACCGGGTTGTTAAGTGAATCTGGCTTCCCCCCATTGACTTTGCTTGTCACAAGGTCGCAAAAGGAGATCACTCGACCCCGAGACACAGCAAAGGTCATAAATATGAACCAGCATCTGAATTTTGATTGTGTGATCGTGGGGATGCTGCAAAAGGTCGTAACTACGAAAAACGATCATAAGTCACATTTTTTTCAGTGCCGTCGTAACTTGAACAGTCACTAAATGAACTGTTGTAAGTTGAGGACTCCCTGTACATTGTGGGGATAACAGCACGCATTTCAGAATGACTAATGAACTCAAATCCAAACGAGTCCACTATCAGCCTGGTCAAATTGAAAAGCAAACTAATTTACAGTATTGGGGTCTATTGTGAATTAGGCCTGAATTCAGCCCCTCAGACAGAACTAGGGGTTAAGAAAGAGGGACCGGCATTGTGTCAATGTTTTCTCTCTGAAAACATAAGTGAGTCAGACGCTGTGGTACTGCTGTTAAAACACAGCAGGACTGGGGATTTTCTACTGAACAACATAGTCAACCAAGCCTATTAATTATGCTTCGTATATGACAGCCTGAGCTTTGAAAGGTCCGTGGTGTTCTCTGAGCTTGCTTGTTTTCTTGCCTAAGCTGGATTTATGCAACGTGCTAAGTTCAAACGGAACACTAACAAAGCTTCAGAGAACAGCAACTAAGAGGATCAAAGGCCTGGAGACCGAAACAGGCTGCAGGGTTTGGGTTTGGCTAGTCTAAAGAAAAGGAGAAATAGGGGAGACAGGATAGCAGTCTTCCAGTATCTGAGGGGCTGCCACAAGGCAGAGGGGGGTCAAATTATTCACCAAAGCACCCGATGGAAGGATGAGAAACAATGGCTGGGAATTGATCAAGGAAAGAAGGAACCCGGAATTAAAGAGAAACTTCCTGACAGTGAGGACAATCAACCAGTGGAACAGCTGGCCACCAGAAATTGTGGGCGCTCCATCACTGGAGATTTTTCTTGCAGTGACTCTTGCAGTGTCATGCATTACTTGCAATCCATTAGCCTGGCTCTTTTGTAAGTACCCCAAATACATATTCTCTCCTGGTTTTATATATCCCTTCCCACCACAGCATTCTGTGCCTGCTAAACTCATCTGAATCATGCATCACAAGAAGCCTGGGGGAAGCAGGATGCGCAAGCAAAGCAAAGAAGCTGTGGGGAGCAGGGCACTATGTGAGCACAGGGAGGCCAAGGGACTTACTGTCAACCTACAACTCGAGTATCCGAATAAAGAAGAGGCTGGACAACCGTTTGTCTGAAATGGTATAGGTTCTCCTGCTTGAGCAGGGGGCTGGACTAGAAGACCTCCAAGGTCCCTTCCAGCTCTATTCTATTCTATTCTATTCTATTCTATTCTATTCTATTCTATTCTGTTCTGTTCTGTTCTGTTCTGTTCTGTTCTGTTCTGTTGTTGTTCTGTTCTGTTGTTTGTTCTGCTCTACTCTATTATATATTCCAATATCTATTCTATTCTATTCTATTCTATATTCCAATATCTATTCTATTCTATATTCCAATATCTATTTATTCTATATTCCAATATCTATTCTATTCTATATTCCAATATCTATTCTGTTCTATTCTATATTCCAATATCTTTTCTATTCTATATTCCAATATCTATTCTATTCTATATTCCAATATCTATTCTGTTCTATTCTATATTCCAATATCTTTTCTATTCTATATTCCAATATCTATTCTATTCTATTCTATTCTATTCTATTCTAGCTGATAAAGGTAACCTCATCAGTGCTGGTTGATGATGACTAGTTAACTAACACTGATGATGTTAGCTAGTTTAGGTCATGAAAGTTCTGCAAGAAAACAACCACGCTCTGAGATCTCCAAGGACCTCTCATTTCAACCCTAAGCTACAAATATTCTCCTTTATCAGCCTAAGCTTTGTTAGTGTTCAGCTTGAACTTTGCACATTGCATAAACCCATCTTATATTTTGGAAGAGGGTACACATTCAGGAACTCTAGAAATACATCACTGCCTCCACCTTTCCAGCAGACACATATAAGCGGTGACATCTTTGTAAGGGGGAGAGGCATCTAAATTTTAAGGCTGCCTTAAATCTCAACGTAATTGTTCATAGCAATGGTCTCACCTCTAGGATTCCCTTCAAAGAATAATAAAGAAGCCAAGACTTAAATCACCTCACCCTTCAGGACATCCTAAATAACACATACGCTCGTATCTTCTTTACACACTCACAAATTACAATTCTCTTTACCAGAGTCCTCAACTTTTAAATTCACTCCAATTCTCCCTTTTCCTATTTCTACCTATCTGAAAGAAATTTATCTCACCACAAACGCAATAGATGCAGTAATGCACTCTTGCAAAAAAAAAAAAAAAAAAAATCAGTCTGGTAACACCTTTTTAACAGAATAACAGAGTTGGAAGGGACCTTAAAGGTCTTCTAGTCCCACCCCTGGGTTCAGGGACGAAACCTTCTACCATTTCAGACAAATGGTTGTCCAATCTCTTCTTAAAAACCTCCACTGTTGTTGGAGTGGCCACGACTTCTGGAGGCAGGTTGATCCACAGATTAATTGTTGTATCAGGAAATTTCTCCTTAGTTCTAGGTTGCTTAATAATAATAATAATAATAATAATGATGATGATGATGATGATGATAAAGTTGGAAGGGACTTGGAGGTCATCTAGTCCAACCCCCTGCTCAGGCAGGAAACCCTATACATTTCAGACAAATGGCTGCCCAGTCTCGTCTTAAAAACTTCCAGTGTTGGAGCATGCACCGCTTCTGGAGGCAGGTGGTTCCACTGGTTAATTGTTCACACTGTCAGGAAGTTTCTCCTTAGTTCTAGGTTGCTTCTCTCCTTGATGAGTTTCCATCCGTTACTTCTTGTCCAGCCTTCAGGTGCTTTGGAGAATAGCTTGACTCCCTCTTCTTTGTGGCAGCCCCTGAGATATTGGAACACTGCTAACCTAGAACTAAGGATCATTTTTTTGAGTGCCAACCTTACCCATTTATCAGCCGGAAAAGAGACTGGACAATCACCTGTCTGAGACAGTATAGGTTCTCCTGCTGGAACAAGGAGCTGGACTAGAATACCTCCAAGGTCCCTTCCAGCTCTATTCTATTATTCTATTCTATTCTATTCTATTCTATTCTATTCTATTCTATTCTATTCTATTCCTATTCCAGAGTCCCACAACAAACGGTAGATCACATTGTGGTGGGCTGTAAGCTGGTGCAGTATCTGATTTTTTTTTTTAATATAAATGATGCTGTGCCTCAATGGTTAGATGACCTAGACATTGTTATTTGAACACAGATCTTTTTAACAATGACATTTTATTGTGTTTTACTAACATAGGTGAAATGTTAATATAAATGTTAATATAAATATTCAAAGATACAAGCTTTTTTCAGCTGCCGCTCACTGTGTGTCTGATAAAGCAAGATGCAGCGCACAAAAGCTTGATTTATTCATATCTATATAGCCACTTATCTCACAATCAAGTAAATATGTCTTTGAATAAAAAGGGTCAGCCAGGACAGGTGCTACCAGACTCCTGCTGAATCTTTGCTACCACAGATTAACATAACCCTGACATGCATATTCACAACCATCTCCATAAAATCCTTACCTATGCTCAGGGCCTACCACATATTTGTAATGTATGTGCAAATATTTTGGACACCTAGAGCTATATCAGGAGAGCCAGTCTGGTCTAGTGGTTAAGGCAACCGGACGAGAAACTGGAAGACTGAGTTCCAGTCCTACCTTAGGCGGAAAACCAGCTGTGTTACCTTGGGCCAGTCACTCTCAGTTCTGAGAAAATGGCAAACCACTTCTGAGAATCCTTGCCAAGAAAATTGCAGATTTGCCCAGGAGTCAACTCAGATTCAAGAACACAAAAAACAATTACACTGTCATATGCAGATGATACCACTCTAATGGCAGAAAGTGAAGAGGAACTAAAGAGCCTCTTGATGCCAGTGAAGGAGAGTGCAAAAGTTGGCTTGAAACTCAACATTAAGAAAACCAAGATCATGGCATCCGGCCCTCTCAATTCCTGGCAAATAGATGGGGAAGAAATGGAAGTAGTGACAGATTTTATCTTCCTGGGCTCCAAGATCACCGCAGATGGGGACTGCAGCCAAGAAATTAAAAGACGCTTGCTCCTGGGGAGGAAAGCTATGGCAAATCTAGACAGCATACTAAGAAGCAGAGACATCACCCTGCCAATAAAAGTATGTATAGTCAAGGCCGTGATTTTCCCAGTTGCAATGTATGGCTGTGAAAGTTGGACCATAAGAAAGGCTGAGCGCCAAAGAATTGAGGTTGTTGAACTATGGTGCTGGAGAAGACTCCTGCAAGTCCCCTGGATTGCAAGGCGATCAAACCGGTCAGTCCTAGAGGAGATCAGCCCTGACTGCTCTTTAGAAGGCCAGATCCTGAAGTTAAAAAGTACTTTGGCCACCTAATGAGAAGGAAGGACTCACTGGAGAAGAGCCTGATGCTGGGAAAGATGGAGGGCAAGAGAAGAAGGGGATGACAGAGAATGAGGGGGCTGGATGGAGTCCCTGAAGCAGTGGGCGTGAGCTTCAATGGACTCCAGAAGATGATAGAAGACAGGAAGGCCTGGAGGAACTTTGTCCATGGGGTCGCGATGGGTCGAACACGACTTCGCAACTAACATGTCATATGCAACTACAGGTAGTCCTAGATTTACAACAGTTCATTTACTGGCTGTTCGGAGTTACAATGGCACTGAAAAAAAAGCGACATGACCATTTTTCACACTTATGACCATTGCAGCCTCCCCCGTGGTCTTCTGATTTACATTCAGACTCCTGACCACTGGTTCATATTTATGACGGTTGCAGTGCCCTGGGGTCATGTGATCATCTTTTGTGACCTTCCAACAAACAAAGTCAACGGAGGAAGCCAGATTCACGTAATATCCGTGTTACTAAATTTAACAATTGCAATGATTCGCTTAACAAATGTGGCAAGAAAAGTCGTAAAATGGGGCAAAAGTCACTTAAAATTTTCTCACTTAATAATACAAATTCTGGGTTCAAGTGTGGCCGTAAGTCGAGGATTATCTGCATCACAATTTGTAGCAGAGTTGAGTTTACCTTATTCAAGATCACATCGTTGGTTGGGTGAATAGGCTAAGCCAAAACAACTTCAAACTACAATCCCAATTTACTGTTTACAACAAAGAACACAAAATCATAGGGCTGGAACAGATATCAGAGGTCTTCTAGTCCAACCCCCTGTTCAGAGCATGAGACCTTATACCATTCTGGTCAAATGGTAGTCCAATCTATTTTTGAAACCCTCCCGTGTTGAGGCACCCGCAGCTCTTTAGCATGTGTGCCAAGATCAACTAATTGCAAACAAGGTGACGGAGAGGAAGGCCACTTTTTCTAGGAAAAATAACTTTTACTATGCAGGTGTCTATGGAGATTCTCAGTCAACTAAGGAGAAATTTTCTTAGAACAATTAACCAGTGGAACAACCTGCCTCCAGAAGCTGTGAATGCTCCAACACTGGAAGTTTTTAAGAAGAGACTGGACCATTTGTCTGAAATGGTATAGGCCTGAGCAGGGGGTTGGCCTAGATGACCTCCAAGGTCCCTTCTCACATTATTACTATTATTACTATTATTATTCAGGTCATGGTTGTCCCAAGGTGCTTTTTTTCACCAGGCAACTGGACTTTGTTTTTCTTGAAGACATTTCACTTCTTGGATGAAGCAAAGGAAGTCCAATTGCCTGTGGAAAAAAAGTGCCTCTGGGTTTTATTAATGCAGAGATATAAGTAGGACACCAAATAAACACACAAAACTCCATGCTACTGAGCTATAGACTGTGAATAAAGGGCAACACAAAAGCCAGGCCAGAAACAGCTTTAAAGTTACCTTAGGAGAAACGTATTCAATTTTCTAGAACTAAGAGCAACCCGGAATTGCAGGCAGGCCAACTTGCAACGTATTTTAAGCAACTAAAATCAAGGGCCTTGCCAGCAATTATGTTTCAGCTTAACCTGTACACCTACACCACTCAGCCAATAGGCCCAAGGGGGTAAAAAAGAAAAAAAGCAGCTTGTTTCAAAGCACAGAGAAGAAATCCTTGTATAATTAGCAGCCTGCCTACTCTTTCCAAAGAGGGTTTTTTTCTTTAATCAGCGGCTGATTCACTCTCACTTTCTCTCTTTTTGACTTTTCCACGTTCTTTTGCCTCCTTGCATTGCATTTTTTTTGCAAGGGAAGCTTTCCCAGGGAATCCTTAAATAACGGGGGAAAGGGGAAAATTGCTTTCCCCCCCTTTTTCCAAGGAAGGGGGGCATTCTTTTTGCTTTTCGAAAGGAGGCAGGTGAGGAGCAGAAATCCCCCCCCCCGGACACAAATGCATGTGGAAGAAAATAAATTAATAAGGCATTGAGTAGGCCAAAGCATAACCTTCGCTTCTCCTCCTCCTCCTCCCCCCCCCACTGCTCCCACAGGCTCCACCTATATTTAAATTTACCTTCCTTTCCCCCCAGCCTGCCTCTCCTATTGGTTGAAGCGACTGAAGTTGCAGGAGAGACTGCCACACCTCGAAGCGCCGAAACGGGCGATTTTTTTGGCCTCTCTCTCTTCCCTTCCCCTCCCTCCCCTTTCAGGAGGGCAGCATGGAGACTCCTCGTCCGGCTTTGGCTCCGCCCCCGCCCCTCCTCCTGCCCCCCTCCTCTCGCGAGAGACGGAGACGGTAGCCCTCCCCGCCTGCCCCACCCACCAGCCCGACCAACCGCTCGCCCGGCTCCGCCCTCCCAAACCCCGCCCTCTTTCGATCCCGGCGACTAACTGCTCTTTCAGGACGTGCCTCGGCTCAAGCTGTCACCTCTGCCCAAGCTCCGCCCCTTCTCTCTTTTATGTAAATGATTCTTGTGCGGCCCGCCCCCTTCCTTGTCCTTCCCCTTCGCTCTATTCGCCGCGGGCTCAAATCGAAGAAAGGGGGGTGGGAGAGCGTTTCCTTTATATAGGTAGGCCGGAAAGAGGGTCCGGCTTGCGGCTTTCTGCGCATGCGTGAGAAGGAACGCTGTCGTGAAGTGGAACCCGCCCGCCCATTCTCCGCCTTTCTTTCTTGGAAACTGTCACAAATGGCCCCTGCCGCCGGCGCGGCGAATAGGGCGCTGAGGTGGTGCGCATGCTCAGTAAGCCGTTTCTTCCGCCTCGAGAAATAGTTCGAGCGGGAAAAGGCGGAGATGTGGCGACGCCGATATTGGGCTCGCCCTTGAGGCGGGAGTGAATTCGTGTTGCTCTAAATGGGCTTACTTCGGAATAAAAAAGGTAAGGCTTCGCTTCTGGAAGCCTTACCGAAGAAATCCACAACTATTTTAAGTAGGAGCTGTTCGTTGGCCTCTTAAGCCGTTTCGATCTTACACCAAAAAGTTTTGTGATGTGAGCTTGCCCTCTTCCCCGAAATACACCTTAACCATATTTTAAAAAGGGTATAATGCATATTTGCTTTTACCCGGAATATTCCTTAACCATATTTAAAAGTACGGATAACGTAAACCTTTCTCCCCAAAACTTGCCTTATGAATGTTTAAAAGAAGGCATAAAATATACCTGCTTTCCCCTCAAAATTTACCCCATTAATATTTAAAGGCTATGATGTATATCTGCTCCTCCCCAATATACCTCATCAATATTTAAAAGAAGCGATAATATATGCCTTCTTTCCCCCAAAAAACTATATCTTTTATCAATATTTAAAAGAAGGGATAATAAATATTCTTGCTCCCCCCAATATTATTACGATTATTATTAAATTTATTTCCTGCCTTTCGGGTCATGGGGCTACTCTAGGCAGCTCACAATCATAAAAAAAAGAAGAAATAGGAAGTTTAAAGGATGTGAAACCAAGGAGAAAGAAAACAAAAACAAAAGAGGTCAATAGGATCAGCAAAAAAAGATGGACAAGTGGGAAGCAGAGAATGGGGTGGGGAGCTTGTTATCAATCTTACAGCCACCTCCAGAGTTGAATTTCTCCATTGGATCTCCATGCCATCTTGCAGAGCCAAGTCTCTAGGCTCTTAAGGAATGATAGATAGATAGATAGATAGATAGATAGATAGATAGATAGATAGATAGATAGATAGATAGATAGATAGATAGATAGATAGATAGATAGATCTTAGACTGGAGGGCAGGATGCCTATGGAGATTTTCAGTCATCCAGGTCATGGTTGTCCCAAAAGCCACTTGCTTTTTGAAAAAGCACCTTTGGGATTCCAAAGGAAGGGTGCTCTGGCAGAAAGGCTCTTCTCAATCCCGGCAGTCATAATAAATATACATTATTAATATTTGAAAGAAGGTGCTACCTGCTTCCTCCCCCCAAAATAGACCTTATCAATATTTAAAAGAAACCTGGAGATGCGCAATGCCAAATCTGGGACTTTTTATTGTAACTTGGACTGAGAAATGGCACAGCAATAAAGCAGGAAAATATTCCATACAAGGTGTCTCCAGCACTAGATAATAGGCCTGAATCTGAAGTCAAAGATGGAACGCTTCTTTTACAATCCAAGCTCATACTAGCAGTGACTGGGTACCAGCATTCGGGTAAAACAGAAGGGACCAACAAAGAAGAATATTTGTAGCTAGGACTGAAATGAGAAGTCTTTGGTGCTTGTTTTTATGCAGTTTTATGCTAGTTTTATGCAACTAGCACTGATGGTGTTACGTAGTTTGAGTAGTGAAATGTCTGCCTAAAAACCAAGCTCAGAGAGCACCAAGGACCTTTCAAACTGAAAACATTAACAGTTTGCATCCCTTTGGAAAAAAAGGTTAACTTATGGACTATTTTATGGTTATATTATTGAAATCATAATATGGATCAATCTGGCATTAAGCAACCCAAGCTACAGGGCTGAAGGCCTGCTAACAAAATTTGGCTTATACCTGAATTGCCAGTCACTATCTAGCTTCCAGCCAGCCCAGTGTTTTTTGCCATTCCATTTGTCACTCCAGGGATTATGATTCCCTTCAAATTATGATTATGATTCCCTTCAAATCTAGCATTTGAAAGCAATTCAACTAATGTTTTAGCATTATAAGTGAGAAGTGGCATATAACAATATGAAGCATAAATTTATTTAGAAAAAAAAAAACAGCAAGAGATGGAGTCCAGAATTTGAAAATATTTGAAAATATTTCACCTGTCTCAAAAATGTATTTGTGTGTGAGGGAATTACAAGCAATGGTGAAAGCAGTCTAACTGTTGCCATGAAAATTCATTTGTATGTGCATTGTAACATTGCATGGATGTATGAAAGAGTTTCATCTTATGGTGTGACTTCCATTCTTCATGGCCCTTTCTTTCTAGTGATAATTAGATACCAAAGTCATGAATGGTTGTAAATCAAGTACTATCTGTATGCACTACATTTTTTCAGTGTGATTGCCAAGTTTCAGTTGCATAAATACTGGTACTTTTACATAAATTGATGGTGTCTCAGAACAAATGGCTTGTTTTATTGCATCGACTTGAAAATGGCACGTTATTGTATAATGACTTTTGTTGGGCAAACTATTCATTGCTGAGGTGATGACCTTAGAAACGAGAACTCTACTTTCTAAATTACAGCATTTGTATATTAGTTGATGTTTCTTTCCCTAATCAATGGTAAATTATAACAAAGGTAATGTAGGTAGCATTTGATCCATTTCCACAATCCTAAGTAGAATGGCTGGCTTCAATTTCTGTATTGCAATCTACCTTCCCCATACTCTTTTTGAGAGTTCAGAGCTTGTTACTTAACAAGCAATGCATCTTTATGATCTTCTAACTCAGGGGTTCCCAACCCTGAGGGAGCGAGATGATATTCCAGGGAATGCGAAAACTTGGGTTTAGAAGTTTCAAAATTATAGTGTATATGCATAATTCGTTTTGAACTTTTGTAAGGGGTGCAAGAATATATCAGAAGCGTTCTAGGGGTGCGGGGTATAGAAAAGGTTGGGAGCTGCTGTTCTAATAAAAATATTATGTGACCTTTAGAAAAATATACATTTTTCTTTGTAAACAAGTGATGTGTTTTATTAGTAATTTGTAAAAAGTTGATTTCAGAACCTTAACTTCGCTTTTTTTTTTTTACATTTAAGGTTACATGCTCTTTGTCTATTGTTACCAATAGATTTGGCTCTTGGCACTGCATGTTTTATTTTGGAAACATGAATTTTGTTACTCCATGGATTTTTAATATATTTTAAATTAAATCTGTAAGAGCAGCTCTGACATACGTATATTTATATATGCCATAATATTAGCAAATGCTGATCACTTATCAGCATAACATATTGTGATAGGGTTCATATTGGGGGCCTCAGATTGCACCATGAAAATATTTTTTCTAAAATAAAAATCAAAACAAGTGCCTTTGTCTTTACAAATTTTATCCTTTAATCCCTTACAAAATAAAAAATTGTCCCAACCCAATGATAATGGCTTTTATATTTCATGATGTCACAAAAATTTGCAAACTATCACATGGCTAAAAGCCTCTGGTTAAAAATAATTCTTTTCCACTTCCCATAAGTCGGTTACTAAATATTCCAGCAAAACAAATTACACTATCTCATGCATATAAATCTAACGAAAAACACCAAGGTTTATATTTCATAAAGGAACTGCAGCTTTTATAATTTTTATTGGCAATATTTTTGTGCCTTCAAGTCAGTGTTCACGCCTGGGGGCTGTCTAGACACGTTGCTGCAGTTTTATAAATTACCAACATTTTAAAATTATATTTTTTGCTTGCAATAAATACATAACCAAACAGTTTGTAAACATATATAAATGCACTATTAACATGGCAGAGAGTGTGCTGCTGTGTACTGTATCAACCTGCATATTTACAAGACCAGTTAAAACATTGGCTAGCAAAAAATGCAGAAGCTGGTTTTTGTTCACAGCATTGATCATACACATACTCTGAGATTTGGTCTTTCTGTGCTGGAATTCCAAATTAGATTTTTTATATGTTGATGAGTGCAGAACATTCCAACTACTAGGAATATCAGCCCCACCCACAAGAAGCTTTGTGAATACGAGAATGAGATCAACCACTAAAAAAGAACTAAAGAGAATCAAGCAGCTAGCAACAATCCATATACAAAAAGAAAGGTTTGCCATTCTTCGGGACACAGTGTCAATGTACAACTGAGCAATGTGGAGGCATATAAAAAGGAGAAGAATTGCCAGTAAAAAGTAGCAGATTACTTTAAGCCACTCTTTTGCTGCTGTTCTTTTTCCTAACAAATACAAACCTACTTGCACGCTAGACAGGTAGATAGCAAGGTAACCGATGACAGAAAATATACCCTCTCTGTTGGCATTTAGAAAACCAGTCCTTGAATCTTGCCCATCACTTCCATGCAAAATAAACATCTTCATGGGTGTAACGTCAAGAAAGCATTCATAAACTACAGCAAGCATGACTGCGGCGATCCAGGCTTTGTGCACAGGGAATACAGTCAGAAGCAGCGATGCGCCTATTCGTATAGCAGCTAAAGTGAAGAAAAAGTTCCAGTGCACCCCATATTCAGTGACATGCTCATAATAGTCAGCTGCTTTAACACTCATTAGTCGTCCGAAGCCAAGGAGAAGGAGGGGCCATACGGTCAACAACTGCCTTGAGA